TCTCAAAAGCCCATCTGCAGTTAGAGATGCCCTATTTCACCTGTGAGAGAAGCAGGCACTCCAGGCATCCTGCTTACATTTTTCTCTTGCAGGTGGCAGAATGATGCCGGCAAGACCTCCTGATCTGTCTTTTCATGGGGGCAGAAGGGAAACAGCGGCTGTGGAACCAGATCAGGTCAGGGGAAGCTGCCTTGTGGCGACAGAGACCGAGGGATGGAGCAATGTCATGGACTGGTTGGGCACAGAGGAATGGTGGGAGGAAGCAGCCAGGGAACCAGGAAGGGAAGACGGCTGAGAGCCCAAGAAGTGGAGGTAGAAGAAGGATGGGCGGTTAGAGGGGGGAAAGGGAGAAGGCTGGGGAGAGGAGGTGTCAGAAGCTGAAAGGCTAACAGGGCTTACTGAGCTGGGAGACTCTGTGGCAGAATGCAGTGCAGAATCAGAGGCAGAAGAGGAAGGAGGCGAGTGGGAGAGGAAGGTTGGGAGGCAGAGGTGAGTCAGGATAAGGATGCCAGAAGCCCCCCTCCCTGCTTGTCTCTCAGAGCCAGGAGACCCCCTGCAATGGAGGAATCTCTGCTAGATCATCCAAGACAGATGGCCATCCAAAAGAGGCTGATTTCATTTCTAGATTGATCACGGAATGCTAATGGTTTCTAAGCAGTGGGCAAATGAGAACAAATAGTGGCCTGGATTCACCTAACCAGCCCCATTGGCTGCAAAATGGGGCTTGCCCCACATTCCTTCCTCTCTCCATGCCCCCATGAACCCCTGGAATTTGACTTTAGGGCATTGGGAGGGGAGGAGAAAGTGGATCCTTCCATTGGGGAAGAATGACTTGGAAAACACAAGGTGGAGAACAACCTATTTGCACAAAAAAGAATACGCATAATTAAAACTTAGAATAAAATAAGCATCTATAAATAAGATGTGCAGCAAAGCAATCCTATTGAAACAACTCCCCTGCGTGAGTGCCTGAGGGCCCTGCTCCTGCCACTCACCACCTGGCCCAGGGTGGGGCCTAACAGGCCTCACAAGGACGGTTGCTGCTGCTCCTGCTGGCCAGGAGGACTTGGAGCGGCACAATGTTCTTTTTAAAATGTTTTTTTTAAATTTTCTTTTTTCCCTTTTGATTACTTTTTTTTGTGGGGGGTGGGATGGATGTTTGGTTGGGCTCGGGAATGTTTTTGATTTTGATGTGTTTGTAATTTTTACAGTTTTTTGTTTGTATTGTTTTATTGTGGGTTCTTTTTTTTTTAAAGGGTTTTATTCTTAAGGGGAGGGGTCAGGCCTGCCAGGGAGTGGGTCCCAGCCCACAAAATAGCTGGGGCATGTTCCATGGGGGGAATGCACTGGGACAACCAATCTCAGTGATCACAGGTAGGAGGAGCAGTTACGCTAAGACCAGACCATGTCATTACAGAGGAGGCAGGTTTAGTCGTTGTTTGAGGACTATCCCTGCCTCCAGATCTGGTACTGACTGGACGGATACTAGAATCAGCAAGGGATACCCACATGACCTGAAGGTGCTGCTGTGCAATGCCAGGTCAATGATTCATAAAGCCACTGCCATCCATGACTTGATCATGGATGGAGGACTTGATCTGGCATGTGTAACAGAGACTTGGTTGGATGAAACAGATGGGCCTGTCCTTGCCGCTGCTTGCCCACCAGGTTTCTCTTACACACAGCAACCCAGGCCTTGTGGGCGGGGAGGGGGGGTTGCAGTGCCATGGTCAGATCACTTCCTGGTGCAACAGGACTTCTCTGCGGCCCTTTCCCTCTGCAGGGAGGTGGGACCGATTCAGGTGGTCCACCTCCGCCACTTAATGGCTCCAAATGGTTTCCAGAGAGTGGTAGGGGATGCTTTATCCCATGTTGATGGCCTTTCAGCTGATTCCCTGGTGGCCCGCTGGAATGCGGAGTTAACCAGGGCTATTGACTGTTTGGCTCTGAAGCGCCCTCTTTGACTGCATGGAGCCCAGACAGCCCCATGGTTTTCCACGGATCTGAGGGCAATGAAACAATCGCTGAGACGGCTAGAGCGCCGGTGACGGATAACTCATTCTGAAGCTGACCGGACACGGGTTAGAGCTCAATGTCGAGCCTACCAAGTGGCGGTAGCAACGGCGAAGAAGACTTTCTATGCTGCCTATATTGCATCTGCAGAAAACAGCAGCAGGAGGCTTTTTCAGGTGGTCCGCAATATAGCAGAACCACCTGCTACAACGGGGCCCAGTATGGGCCACATGATCTCCTGCAATTATTTTGCAAAGTTTTTTGCGGATAAAGTCGCTCAGATTCAGGAAGAGGTAGACTCCACAGTGGAGCAGGGCCGGGGCGGGAGAGTGCTAGTGTCCTGTCTAGTCAAGTTGTGTGGGATCAGTTCCCTTCTGTTACCTGTGAGGATGTGGACAGGCTGCCTGGATGAGTGAAACCAACCACCTGTCTCCTTGATCACTCAGATTCAGGAAGAGGTAGACTCCACCGTGGGAGCAGGGCTGGGGCGGGAGAGTGCTAGTGTCCTGTCTAGTCAATTGTGTGGGATCAGTTCCAATCTGTTACCTCCAAGGATGTGGACAGGCTGCTTGGACAAGTGAAACCAACCACCTGTCTCCTTGATTCTTGCCCATCGTGGCTTATAAAAGCTAGCCGGGAAAGGTTGGGCGATGGGCTTTGCGAGGTGGTGAATGCTTCTCTCTGTGAGGGAGCCTTCCCGGACCCTCTGAAAGAGGCGGTTATCAAACAGCTTATTTAAAAGCCATCTTTAGATGCTGCCAATATGGCTACCTATCGCGCAGTCTCAAATCTTCCATTCTTGGGCAAGGTGATTGAGCGTGTGGTTGCTGAACAACTCCAGGCACGCCTGGAAGAAGTGCACCATTTGGATCCCTTCCAATCGGGATTCAGGCCTCATCATGGGACTGAAACTGCCTTGGTCGCACTGGTCGATGATCTCCGGCGGGCTAGGGACAAAGGTGAGAGCTGTTTCCTAGTTCTGCTGGATCTCTCAGCGGCGTTTGATACCATCGACCATAACATCCTTCTGGACCGTCTTGAGGGGCTGGGAGCTGGGGGCACTGTCATATGGTGGTTCCGCTCCTTCCTCCTGGACCGTGTTCAGAAAGTGGGGGGGGGGGATGAGTGTTCAGACCCCTGGGCTCTCACTTGTGGGGTGCCTCAGGGTTCTGTCCTCTCCTCCATGCTTTTCAACATCTACATGCAGCTGCTGGGAGAGATCATCAGGGGGATTTCATCAGTATGCAGATGATACCCAGCTCTACCTCTCTTTCAAATCGGAACCAGTGAAGGCGGTGAAATTTCTGTGTGAGTGTCTAGAGGCGGCTGGAGGATGGATGGCGGCTAACAGATTGAGGTTGAATCCTGACACGACAGAAGTACTATTTTGGGGGGACAGGAGGCGTGGTGTGGGGGACTCCCTGGTCCTGAATGGGGTAACTGTGCCCCTGAAGGACCAGGTGCGCAGCCTGGGAGTCATTCTGGACTCGCAGCTGTTCATGGAGGCACAGGTCAATTGTGTGTCCAGGGCAGCTGTTTATCAGCTCCATCTGGTATACAGGCTGAGACCCTCCCTGCCCGCAGACTGTCTCTCCAGAGTGGTGCATGCTCTAGTTATCTCTCGCTTGGACTACTGCAATGCACTCTATGTGGGGCTACCTTTGAAGGTGACCCGGAAACTACAACTAATCCAAAATGCGGCAGCTAGACTGGTGACTGGAAGCGGCCGCCGAGACCATATAACACCGGTCTTGAAAAACCTACACTGGCTCTGAGATCGTTTCTGAGCACTGGCTCTCAGATCATTTCTGAGTGTTTCTGCTGACCTTGAAAGCCCTAAATGGCCTCGGTCCAGTATACATGAGGGAGCGTCTCCACCTCCATCGTTCTTCCCAGACACTGAGATCCAGTGCTGAGGGCCTTCTGGCGGTTCCCTCACTGCAAGAAGCCAAGTTACAGGGAACCAGGCAGAGGGCCTCCTCGGTAGTGGCACCTGCCCTGTGGAACGCCCTCCCACCAGATGTCAAAGAGAAAAATAACTACCAAACTTTTAGAAGACATCTAAAGGCAGCCCTGTTTAGGGACACTTTTAATGTTTAAGAGATTATTATATTTTAGTTTTTATTGGAAGCCGCCCAGAGTGGCTGGGGAAACCCAACCAGATGGGTGGGGTATAAATTATTATTATTATTATTATTATTATTATTATTATTAACAGGAAGGAAACAACAGAGCATTGTGTAGCAGATCATATTTCTGTTGTCTCAGAGGAGGACATTTCCCTTTTCTTTTAGGGTCCAGTGTGCTTTGAAGATGTCGCTGTTTGTTTCACGGACGAGGAGTGGGCGTTGCTGGATCCTGACCAGAGAGCTCTGCATAAGGACGTCATGAAGGAGAATTGTGGGATATTGGCCTCTCTTGGTAAGGCTCCCTGTGGGATCGTCATATCTGCCTGGAAATTCAAAAAATACCTCTATGGGACCAACCTCATATATTTTCACAGAGTTCAACAGCACCCCCCATAACACCTGGGAACCTAACACCCCCACAATAAACAGTAACTTACAGTTTTTTCTTTGAACAATCTTCTTCAAAATATTCTTTTTTCTACCAGGATTGGGCTGGTGTGAACTTCCCAGGCCATCTTCAGTGTCAGCTTCAACCTTCCACAATTTTGACCACTACTATATATCAGACAAAACAACATTCAACAAGTCTTCAGAATCTAATAATAAATATGTTGATAAAATGACAAACAACATAGGTAATGAACACACACCCAACTCCCTTCATTTCTTCTCCATTTGTTCCTGAGGCTCTAATCCCTTTTTGTCTCCATTACAGATTCTGATGAATTGGAAATTGAGAACAAAGGTGACCACGATAAAATCCCCAGGGAGGAGAAGCCACGTAAAAATTTGGAGTGTGAAGAAAGCTGCAGTCAGAGCTCCCATTCCGCTTGCCATCAACAAAATCTCATTGGAAAGAAACTCTATCAGTGCATGGAATGTGGAAAAAGCTTCAGGAAGAGCTCCGATCTCACTTCCCATCAAAGAATTCATACAGGGGAGAAACCCTATCAGTGCGTGGAATGTGGAAAGAACTTCAGGAAGAGCTCCCATCTCACTTCCCATCAAAGAATTCATACAGGGGAAAAACCCTATCAGTGTGTGGAATGTGGAAAGAGCTTCACAGATAGTTCCTCTCTCATTTCCCATAAAAGAATTCATACAGGGGAGAAACCCTATCAGTGTGTGGAATGTGGAAAGAGCTTCAGTCAGAGCTCCTCTCTCACTTTCCATCAAAGAATTCATACAGGGGAGAAACCATATCAGTGTGTGGAATGTGGAAAGAACTTCAGGAAGAGTTCCAATCTCACTAAGCATCAGAGAATTCATACAGGGGAGAAACCCTATCAGTGTGTCAAATGTGGAAAGAGCTTCACTGAAAGCTCCTCTCTCACTTCCCATCAAAGAATTCATACAGGGGAGAAACCCTATCAGTGTGTGGAATGTGGAAAGAGCTTCACTCACAACCACAGTCTCACTTTCCATCAAACAATTCATACAGGGGAGAAACCCTATCAGTGCGTGGAATGTGGAAAGAGCTTCAGGAAGAGCTCCTCTCTTACTTCCCATCAAAGAATTCATACAGGGGAGAAACCCTATCAGTGTGTGGAATGTGGAAAGACCTTCACTCACAGCCACAGTCTCACTTTCCATCAAACAATTCATACAGGGGAGAAACCCTATCAGTGCGTGGAATGTGGAAAGAGCTTCAGGAAGAGCTCCTCCCTTACTTCCCATCAAAGAATTCATACAGGGGAAAAACCCTATCAGTGCATGGAATGTGGAAAGAGCTTCAGAAATAGCTCCTCTCTCACTTCCCATCAAAGAATTCATACAGGGGAGAAACCCTATCAGTGTGAGGAATGTGGAAAGAGCTTCACATGTAGCTCCTCTCTCACTTCCCATCACAGAATTCATACAGGGGAGAAACCCTATCAGTGCGTAGAATGTGGAAAGTGCTTCAGTCAGAGCCAAAATCTCACTTCCCATCAAAGAATTCATACAGGGGAGAAACCCTATCAGTGTGTGGAATGTGGAAAGAGCTTCAGTCAGATTGCCAATCTTACTTCCCATCAAAGAATCCATACAATGGTCGGAAAAACCATTATACAGCTTTAGGAGCCAGGCAAATCCGCACCTTTTTAACCAGGCTTTTGGCTGATTGACATCTAATTCCCTTTTAATATGTGGTGTTTCGGGTTGTTGTTTTTTTATTTTGTAACCATCCTGAGACTTGTGGGTGTAGGGAATAGGCGCCAACTCTTAAAGGCCTAGGGGTCTTTGCCCCACCCCCAATAAAATATTTAAGGAGGCCACCTCCCAGTTTTTGGTGTGTTTTTTTCAAACACAACCTTTTATTCTGCAACTTGCCATACAATTTCTCTTTCAATTTGCCCTCTTAAAAAAATAAAAAAATAAACACACAAAGGTCATGAGGAAAACAAAATACAAGAAGATACAAACATGGGCAGGTCCCATCTTTGCGGGCAAAATGTAAAAGTTGCTTTGAAGGAGGCTTTCCCAAACTTGGGACCCCAGCAGCTCCCGGACTACAGTTTCCATCATCCCTCCCCATTGGTTCTGCTAGCTAGGGATGATGGGAGTTGTAGTCCAAAACCAGCTGGAGACCCAAGTTTGCTTTAAAGGGAAAGTAGGCTGGCCTTGTGACACCCTCTGCTGGCCAAAAGCACTGCCCCAGAATCTGAACCACCCCCAGTACTCCTAATTGGAATTAATAGAGCGCAAAACTGAAGTTTGATCGGCACTTCAACCTCTAGGGAGCTTCTAGGTGCTTTCTGCACCACCTAGAGTACCCACAGAATTGTGGCTTCTACTGGCAACACACATATAAGAAAACAAATGGAAGACAAACACAAGGGGCAGGGGAAAATCTGGAAAGGGCCATACCAAATGGAAATCCGTTGTGAAGAGGTCACTTTCCCTACTGCTGAACAATGCCACAAAAGGTAGTCGCAGTTTCCTGCCCCCTGAGGGAAGATCTGATCATTGTCCTTTGTTCCAGTCCATGCTGAATCCACTCCCATATGCAAGTTCTTTGTGATCTTGATTGTCTTCTGTCTGGGATCATCAGGGTTGGCATAGCAACTGGGCAGGGCTCCTGTGGATGTGCTGGGATGGTGAAGGGATTATGGCTGACCAGAACCAAGCCACCCCCCTTTGATAGTCCTTGTCATATGGAGTAAAATAAAAATGGAACAGTGCAAATCCGATGTATGGTTGATTTTTCTATGAATTTATAACAGAAGTGTGGCGTATGTAGTGTGTGAGTGTGAGTGTGTGTGAAGTTTGTACAAACTGAATGATTGGGGTGGGGTGGGGGGTTCCTGCTACACTTTGATCTCCGTTGAATAAAGCTGTAAATATGCTCTCCTGTCTGAATCCTCCGTTGTGGAGACTGCTGAAAAGGGTGTGCACGAGTCTTGGAATGTCTCTGAAGCTCGTGTTGCTAATTGACTGATGCTGTTCAACGGGAGACCGGGAGATCGTCCGGAGACAACGTGGAGGCCTGCCTAATTCCTTCGTCTCCCTAGAAGTATCCCAACACTTACAGCCTGCCCATTTCGTCCAGGAAGAAATCCCGCCTTCCTCTCTAAACTAGCTGTCTAAAATGCCCATCCAAGCCTAACTCTGACCCCAACCGCAGCCCTAAGCCTAAGCCTAACCCTAACTACCCCTCTATGTACAATATATATATACAAAATGTGCACAAAATAAAATAAAAAATATTAAAGAACAATAAGATAAAGTGTTTAAAAAAACCTAAAAGAATAAATCAAATAAAAGTATGAAATGAAATAGGAAGCAAAATAAGAAACTGGAAAAAGAACAGTAAACTGAACTCTTTCCCCAAACTCCGCCAACCGCCACCAACTCCTCTCTCCTCCACTTGCCTCACTCCTCACCCACAATGGCCACCTGCAAGTCGGTGGCTTTTAAGGGAGAAGCAAGAGAGGTCACAAAGGAGGGCGGGTCCTTGTCACCGTGGCAACCCCCTCCTACCTGGCCCCTCCCGAGAGGTGATGCTCCACCTTCAGAACTCGGAGGCCCCTGCTGTTCCGCCTGCCCCTGGGCTGCATCTTCCTTTCACATCCTTCTTCCTGCAGCCCCATTCCCAAAGGGAGGCCAGCCCCACATCCTCCCAGGCAGGCTAGGGGTCTCCACAGCGCAGGATTGGACCATCTGCTTTGCATTCAGAATTTCCATCCTGGGCGGCATCTCCAGGGGGGGCTGGGAATGTAGTCCCCCCCGTCCAAAAGCCAGGAGAGCTGCTGCCAGTCAGTGCAGGTGCTGCTGAGGTCGATGGGTCATAGGACTGACCGTGTCCAAGGCAGCTTCCTAGGAATATCCCTCTTATGTTATGTAGCTGAAGAGGAGCAAGCTAAATAACTTCTGCAACAAACCGACCATCGATTCCTTTAGAAAGGGCCCACGAGTATCATGTACACTGAAACCAGCCCCACCGTAATGATGCTCAATTTTTATTTTTATTTCATAAAATGTATACAACACTCGTCTGTGAAGGGGGGGACACACTCTGAAAACTGAAAGGAGCAGATCTCGCAAGCAGAGTATCCGCTTTGTAGGCAGAAGGTTCAAAGTTCAATTCCTGGTGTCTTCCATTTGAAAAGGGATTCAAGAAGCAGGAGTTGGGAGGTGGGGGGACCCTGGAGTGTCAGAGGCAGAGGAAACACTGGGGCCCAGTAGACAAATTCCCTGACCTCCAGTGTCCCAACATGCAAGCTGGATGAGGATGGAGAAAACTTAACACATTCAAGAAGGAGATGTTCGTGGTGAGAAGCTCAGCTGGCGTGGAAGCTCCCAGGAGCAGATCTCGTCTGAAACCAATGAAAGTTCAGCTTCAGGGCTCCTAACCCTGGAGGGACCCCAGCAGTGACTTTAGGGCACATTGCTTACAATTGTTGGGTCTTGTAGACCCCATATTTTTCGCTCCAAAAGATGAACCTGACCATAAGACGCACCTAGTTTTTAGAGCAGGAAAACAAGGGAAAAATTATTCTGGACGAAACAGTGGATGTATGATTTTTGTGGTTCATGCTGTGGCCAGGGATATGTGATCTGATGGTGAATTTGGGGTGACCCAATGCAAAAATCCTGAGGATCCATGTGGACCCATGCTTTGTAACCACGTTTTTGTGCCATTGCGGCCCCACACAACAGTGGGTGCGTGGTTTTTTTGTTGCAGGCTGTAGCCATGGACATGCTATGTGATCTGATGGTGAATCTGGGGTGACCCAATGTAAAAATCCTGAGGATCCATGGGCTTTTACCTTCCGCCTCCCTGGCAGCCTCCGCTGGTGTCCTTTATCTCTCTTCCGATCCCACCGATCAGCTGTTTCCTTTCAACACTCCCTCTTGTTTTCCTTAGTGTCTTTTCCTTAGCTGGAGCAGTTTTTTCCTCCTCCTTTTCTTCTAATTTCTCTCCTTATTGCTTTAGTCTTCCTGCCCACCCCCCTTGCAAGTTTGCTGTCTTTACCTCCCCCATCCCAGACAACCTCCTTTATCTCTAGCGTCCCTTATCTCTCTCCCCGATCAGCAAACGATCTACGGCTTTGTTTCAACACCCACTTCCCTCTTTCAAATAAAAAGCATGATCTGCTTTTTGCTCCTGGGCAATTTGGCTCCAGGGACCACGCATTCGCTCCATAAGACACACAGACATTTCCCCTTACTTTTTAGGAAGAAAAAAGTGCGTCTTATGGAGCGAAAAATACGGTAAGTTGCAGGACTCAAATGGATTGATTTTCTGTTGTGTGTATTTCAACAATCCAAAAGTTTGAGAGTCTCTGGCACAGATGCTGTAAAGATCTAGTGGCCTGCGATGGAACAAGCCCTCAGAAGAAGATAACAGTGGTTACCCAGACATCATTGCTGGTGGCAAAGGGGTCCCCATGAGAGTTCAAGATTCAGGACCCCAGAAATGTAGGTTCACCACTGGAGGCTCCCCCTGTTCTAGAGGGGACCATGCCTTGGGGGATCATGGTGAGCTAGGGGTTGTTTTAGGGAGGCAGCTGTGATTAAAGTGCCTTTCCCTGGAATTGTAGAGTTGGGAAGGGGGATCTGAGGGTCATCTAGTCCACCCCCCACAAAGGCAGGAATCACGGCTAAAGTCTCCCTCGCAGTACAGTTCCTGGGGAATTTATACAGGATATTTAATTAAACATTGTACACAAGTGAAAACCTGAACATGTTTTGACCAAGCTCTGCAAGCTGCAAGTTAGACTAAGAATACATGAGACAAAACGAAAGAAAGAAATGGAGCTAAGGCATACAGAAGCAGTGATAACAAAAAAAGGGGGGAGGATGAACCCTCAGGGCGGAGGCTGGAAGTCATGTAGAGGAATTAAGAATTTGTGAATCAGGAAAAAGACTTAAGTCTCTTTAAGGATTTGTATATATAGTGGTATATATTGGTTTATTTGGAAAATTGTTGTTTCTTTTGTGTTTTATTTGGAATGTATAATTTTTGTCGTGTTGGAAAATCAATAAAAAGCATTAAAGGGTGGGGCTCCCTGGCAGGTGGCCGTCCAACTTCTGCTTAAAAGCCTCCGAAGAAGGAGAGTCCATAACCTTCTGACCTGAGGCTGCAGGGCTGGGCCAGCTATGGCTATTCCTGGGAAAGGAGGACTCCTTCTGAACCCTGAGATAGATGCCTTGCTGGTTACAGCTGGGTTGGCTGAGATCAGACACCCCGCGTGGGGCTGTCTTGCTTGGCACCCCACTAGCCAATTCTCCGGAGGCTGGTTTTGTCCAAATGCAGAGTCACGAAACACAGGAGTTAAGTGGGGAATTGCTTTCTGGTCCTGCCAGGGGCTTTCCCAGGAGATTCATCTGCTTGGTCATTCTGTGGGACCAATGGAGGTGGCCTAGGTGGGCCTCCTTTGCTCTGCTCTAGCAGCCAGGCCCTTCAAATCATAGAATCGTAGAGTTGGAAGGGGCCTCCAGAGGTCCTCTAGTCCAGCTCTTCTTGGCTAACCTGGTGAGCTCCAGATCTTGTTGGACTCCAACTCCCATCAGCCCCAGCAAGCATGGCCCAATGGGAGCTGGAGTCCAATGAACGCAGCGCAGAGCACAGGTTCCCCTTGTTAGCAGCCTAACGCAGACCCTCCAACATTTCTCCAATGAAAATAGGGGTGCCCTGTTCCATAATAATAATAACATTTATACCCCGGCTCCTAACATATATAAAAAACACAATAAAACATCAAGCATTAAAAATCTTCCCTAGACAGGGCTGCCTTCAGATGTCTTCCAGAGGTTGTCTAGTTACTTATTTACTTGGCTCGGGGGTCGCATGACTCCATACCCTCCAACATTTCTCCAATGAGAATAGGGACCTCCTAAAGGAAAGTGGGACATTCTGGGATCAAATCATAAACCGGGACGTCTGCTGTAAATCCAAGACTGTTCCTGGAAAATAGGGGTGATTGGAGGGTCTGTTAACGGCATTTACGTAAATTGCTACTGCAACAGCAAAGGGATAATGGGGCAAGATGCCATGGAGCTCTTGCCAGCAACACACTCTGGGTTTAGAAAGCGGCTTATTTGCAGCCACTGCCCCTCTTGGCTCTTAACTCAAGCAAAGACTAACGTTCTCTCTCAGCCGCACTCGATTTGCTCCTGTTTTGCTTCCCCAGGAGCGGACTATGTGAAGGACGGCGGAGAGGCAGAGGTTCGATCCTGGAGATCAGAGGAGGTCTGGAGGTCCCAGAGTGCCAGCAAGGAGGAGGGAACCCCAGAGAAAGAAGGACATTTGGACACTGGCAGAGAGATGGCTCTGACTTGCACCTGTCAATGTAAGAAAAAAAGGAGGGGACTTTAGCATACTTTTAATAGCATGAGTGT